GGAGAATCTCTTTACTTTAAACCTAATAGAAATGTCTAGTTTTAAGCCACGAGTTTCTATTCTGAGAAATGTGTGACACTTGATTGACCTATAATTTCCTAATGAATCATAAATGGATTTGTAAACATGTGCTGAAAGAATTATGCCAAGTGTGAATTGGCGATTTAGCTTGATGCAAATGCTCAAAACATGAAATTATTCATGCATTGGGTTTCTGGCATTCCAATTAATGGAAAGGTTTAAAGGAAAACTCCACTTTTTCTAAACAAATGTGATATACAGTCAGGTCCATAAATATTGGGACATCGACACAATTCTAACATTTTTGGCTCTATACACCACCGCAATGGATTTGAAATGAAACGATCAAGATGTGCTTTAACTGCAGACTGTCAGCTTTAATTTGAGGGTATTTACATCCAAATGAGGTGAACGGTGTAGGAATTACAACAGTTTGCATATGTGCCTCCCACTTGTTAAGGGACCAAAAGTAATGGGAAAGAATAATAATCATAAATTAAACTTTCACTTTTTAATACTTGGTTGCAAATCCTTTGCAGTCAATTACAGCCTGAAGTCTGGAACAGATAGACATCACCAGACGCTGGGTTTCATCCCTGGTGATGCTCTGGCAGGCCTCTACTGCAACTGTCTTCAGTCCCTGCTTATTCTTGGGGCATTTTCCCTTCAGTTTTGTCTTCAGTCTGGTACAAGTTGATCTCGGTCTCATCTGTCCATAGGATGTTGTTCCAGAACTGTGAAGGCTTTTTTAGATGTCGTTTGGCAAACTCTAATCTGGCCTTCCTGTTTTTGAGGCTCACCAATGGTTTCCATCTTGTGGTGAACCCTCTGTATTCACTCTGGTGAAGTCTTCTCTTGATTGTTGACTTTGACACACATACACCTACCTCCTGGAGAGTGTTCTTGATCTGGCCAACTGTTGTGAAGGGTGTTTTTCTTCACCAGGGAAAGAATTCTTCGGTCATCCACCACAGTTTTCCGTGGTCTTCAGATTTCAGTGAGTTATTCCTAAAAATTACAGCCTACAATAAAAAACTACATATTTCCATGCAAAAAAAATGGTACCGCTTTCAGCACAAAAAATCGGAAATAATCAGACCGCCGAGGAGGTTAATTGGCTCCTGTCTAAATTGTCCCTAGTATGTGTATGTATGAATGTGAGTTAGGGACCTTAGATTGTACACCCCTTGAGGGTTAGGGACTGATGTGAATGTACAATATATATGTAAAGCGCTGCATAAATTGATGCATAAATTGATGGCTCTATATAAGTACCTGAAATAAATGAATATATAATTAATTAATAAAAAAACAGACTCCGCAGTCTTGTAGCTCTCAAAAAACTATCACGGCGCTCCACAGCGCATTGGTAGTTCATCGATTCTTCCTTTCGGTATATCCGCTCGCTCGTACATCCCGTACAGGCAAGCAGATATACTGACAGGTCTGTTTTAAGGCTCCTGCAAAAAAAAAAAAATAAATGTACACTTTTTTTACCTGCAAAAAAAATTATTTTTGTCAAAAGGTGAACTTATCCTTTAGGAAGGAATTTCATCCCGCATTATTTTTTTTAGCTCCTGCATTTGCCTAAAGCTGGGATGGCCAGAGTTCAGATACCTACAGACACAGCAAGTCCAGCTTTGTCCAGCTGAGATCCTCTTCCCTGCAGCCACTGCTGGGTCCCGAGTTGCCATGTTCCACTATGACGTCATCGGGAGGCTGCGCCGGCTACTCTGGGTTCAGCCTTCTGGTGATGCACCGCTAGACCCGCCCCTCTCCTCGGTTAGTAAATGGGGTGATGTACAAGGTTTCTGGTGCCTCTTGGGATATGAACATCACATATACCAGGACGCACTGGGGACTCATTCCCCTAGGCCGCATGTATCAAACACAAGGCCCAAAGGCTGAATCCCCTGTGTGGCTCTACACTTCTCCTGCAGCTGAAGCACCCCCCATCATCTCTGCCTCTATATTGTCTGAGCAGTCGGCAGCAGAAAGGAGAACTCCTCCGGCAGACCTTGTGCTTCTCTGTGCAGCAGCAGAGAGACTTGTCTCTGCCTGCTCCCCCTCTCAGCAGTTGGCAGTAAAGAGGAGGACAGAACTCCTCTGCCCTATCCTGTGCATCTTCGTGCAGATGTGGAGGGACTCGTTTCTGCCCCCTGTCTCAGCAGTCGGCAGCAGAGAGGAGGACAGAACTCATCCTGTGCCTCTCTGTGCAGCCACACCAGTCCCTTGTGTCCACCACCCCTTGTTTCAGCACTCAGTTGACTCCAGCTCTCCTCTGGTCCTCCTCCACACCCTGCACTTTTTGCTTCCCAGCTTCGCCCCCAGCTTCTTCCCAGCAGCAGCACAATGTTGGGGACTCTTGAACTTCTGATAGTGGGAGGGGGGCTCTTGACATCAGATATAAGGGGAGTGAGTTGCTCTGGACATCTAGTCTTACAGATACAACCGACCCTTTGAAGACAACCATAATGCTTATGCAGCTCGTAATGAAATTGAGTTTGACACCCCTTCCCTAGGTGAATGAAGGAGGATGGGGGCAGTCCGAAACGTAAACCTAAAAAAAAAGTGAACAAATAAAAAAAACAAAACAAAACAATATACACTATATTGGGCCGCCTGCTTTTACACGCACATGAACTTTACCCAGTCTTGGTCCGTAGGATTCAATATTGAGTTGGCCCCACCCTTTGCAGCTATAACAGCTTCAACTCCTCTGGGAAGGCCATCCACAAGGTTTAGGAGGGTGTCTATGGGAAGGTTTGACCATTCTTCCAGAAGGGCATTTGTGAGGTCAGGCACTGATGTCGGGGGAGGAGGCCCGGCTCGCAGTCTTCACTCTAATTCATCCCAAAGGTGTTTTATTGGGTTGAGGTCAGGACTCTGTGCAGGCTAGTCAAGTTTCTCCACCCAAGACTCACTCATCTATGTCTTTATGGACCTTGCTTTGTGCACTGGTGCGCAGTTATGTTGGAACAGGAAGGGGCCATCCCCAAACTCTTCCCACAAAGTTGGGAGCATGAAATTGTCCAAAATGTCTTGGTATGCTGATGTCTTAAGAGTTCCCTTCACTTGAACTAAGGGGCCAAGCCCAACCCCTGAAAAACAATCCCACACCATAATCCCCCCTCCACCCAACTTTACACTTGGCACAGGAAATCAGGCAAGTAACATTCTAAGTACCAAATTTAAGGCTTGGATGCAGCTGCTCGGCCATGGAAACCCATTCCATGAAGCTCTCTACGCACTGTTGTTATGCTAATCTGAAGGTCACATGAAGTTTGGAGGTCATTAGCTTTTGACTCTGCAGACAGTTGGCGACTTCTGCGCACTGTGTGCTTCAGCATGTGCTGACCCCGCCCTGTCATGTGACGTGGCCTACCACTTGGTGGCTGAGTTGTTGTTCCCAGTTGCTTCCACTTTGTTATAATCCCACTAACAGTTGAGCGTGGAATATTTAGTAGCCAGGAAATGTCACGGATGGACTTATTGCCCAGGTGGCTACCTATCACGGGACCACGCTTGGAGTCACTGAGCTCCTGAGAGCAACCCATTCTTTCACAAATGTTTGTAGAAGCAGTCTGCATGCCTAGGGGCTTGATTTTATACACCTGTGGCCAGCGATTTGGAGGGGTTTCCCAATACCTTTGGCAATATTGTGTATTTGCTGCAGGGGGGGTGTGTGGTTAGGAGCCAATTCCAGTTAAAGTGTGATGATCCTCTTTAAATATCATCTCATCTTACCAGATTGACAGCTACACTTTCAACCAAATCTCTCCAGAGAAGAATGTAGAGGTTGGAGTTACCACCAGTGAAACTGAAGGCTCTAATCTGCATATCCTATCCAGGTCAGTGACTCAAATCACACTATAATCAGAGGATTGGGATGGCCGGAAGGCAGCTTGCATTTTTAGAAGGGTTCCGCCATGGCAGTCTACAAATTGTTCTCAAGGCAGCTTTCCTTTGACGTAGTTCAGTGTTTTTTTTTTAAATGGCATTGCTACTGTTTTGGTAATTTAAAAAATCTTTTTCTCCCAATATACCGAGTATTTGACCTTTATCTACACTTGTCATAGTATATAAAAAGAAATTGCGTGCCTGTTTTTCTGAAAGTGTAAAAAGAGATAGGAGCACGCAGAGAGCATACAAATTCTGCACAGCAATGTCCTTTGTCAGATCCTGGACCCTAGAACTGCAAGTGGAGGGGCTTATTCGCACAGTGTGTTGGGGTGCCATTTAAAAGGCACTATGGCTACCACAACCAGTGGTGTATTTAGGTTTTGTGCTGCCCTAGGCAACACAAAAATCGGCGCCCCCTGCAGAGAGAGCCTGACATTGACCAACAACACCTCTGCCTCCCAGCCGAGAGAGCCTTCCACTACCACTGCCCCCCATACACCAGCCACCATCCCCCATGGCAAGAGAGAGAGAGACACTCATCTTCACAGGTCCTTACGTCCCCAGGAACAAGAGTCGGGCTGTGCATACACCGTCATGAAACCCGCAGCCTCTCTCGGAACCCACCAGGTCCCCATGCCGCGTGTGTCCCTTCTTCCGAGGGGCAGTGCTGCCCCCCCTGAAAAATGCCGCCCTAGGCAAATGCCTTGTTTGCCTTGTGGTAAATACACCCCTGACTACAACACCTTTATAGTGCACCCCAACTATGCATTCAGTGAAAAAAAAATTGTGAATGTCCAGTTTTAGGAGCTCTGTGCCGCATTGGTAGCCCATTGAACATGAAATGTTATAGCAAGTATACCGCATGTTAACCGCACTTGAATTATCAAAACGCACGCAAGAATGTGAACAGGCACTACGAGTGCCAATGCCAAGTCACTGAGCTGGACAGAGTTCAGCTTTTATTGGTATCATTATGGCGGTATTAAAGGGTCAGTCCACCCTGAACCGATATTTTGGCCTCTAGTGAATGCTGGAAAGTTAGAGAGGAACTTAACTCCGGCGCTATTCTCCGCCAGAGGCTTCTCTTCCGCATCACCATCTTCAAATAATCAGCACATGGTGAGCAGCATGGTGTGCAGTCAGGGGCGGACTGACAACTCATGGGGCCCCCGGGCAATAGGGATCATGGGGCCCCTGTGTCCTTGCCCACACTCAAAAAAAGCCTATAAAAGGTACCAGGGGCATTTCATGAGGTCCCCTACTGACCCCGGGCCCTCGGGCAGTGCCCGAGTATTCGAATGATCAGTCCGCCCCTGTGTGCAGTCCTGGATGATGATCTGTCATCGGCATTATGGCCGGCAAGATGGAGGAGGTCTGGCACCAAGGCTTGGAACGCACAGCGGAGTGCAGCATGTGCGCGATGACATCACTAGGCGTTGTAGGGACTATTTAGGTCTGCACACCAGCTATGGCCATCATGAAGAGTTTTCACCATCGCTGTTTTTCAATGTTTTTTTGTTTCTTTTTTTTTAATGGAGAATGTAATAGGAGGGGAACTAGGACACACAAGGGCAGGTAGAACCACCCAAAACCATCACGTGGACAGGAACAGGGCTGGGAATTATGGTAAACAGATCTTGTTGTTGGAGTATCCAAGACATAGAAGAAGCCAGGGGCTGACTCAGCCTACCGGACTTAGAAATCTCCTTTTGGGTGGACTGGCCCCTTACTGTAGAGATGAAAAGTTAGTACAGAAGAGAGGGAAGCTTTGGTTTTACTTGAACAACTTTGTTCACACGTTGCACCCTGTTCTTCTTTTTGCAAAAAACATACCTCCTGAGTCCTAGTATGTATGAAAAATATGGTGGCTTGCTGACTTGAAGTTTTACTAAACCACAACAGTACAATCAGTCTGTATATGCAGTAAATCATGCTTGCTATACTCACTGTGGAACCTAAGGGGTTAATCCTCTGCATTGTGTAAAAAGGCTGTTTGATCCTGTCTTCTCTGATCCTCCCCTTCTTCCAGTGTCCCTCTCTTGTCTCCTAATAAGATTAGTTATATTGTGTGGAGACACTCTGCAAATGCTCAGTTTGGTGTGTATTGCTAGAAAGAGTTTTTTTTTTTTCTTGTTTCTTGGGAGAGTGCATGATATCAGCACAGGGCCAATCAGCACTGTTGAGACAGAGGTCAGGGGTTCTGCATACTCCTTGAGCAGAAAGAAAACTCCTCCTACAAGCTTTAATCAGTGTTTTGCTGGACACTGATAGAAGTCACAAGACTGCTCTAACTGCTAATGAGAAAAGGTATTTTGCAGTTTGTATTTACTAAAGTAATTGCATTTCCATGTTCTGTGTACTGTGGGAGACCAGATATAGTGAATGCAGGGTCCGGTGAGACCAGATATAGTGAATGCAGGGTCCTGGGAGACCATATATAGTGAATGAGGGGTCCGGGGAGACCAGATATAGTGAATGCAGGGTCCGGTGAGACCAGATATAGTGAATGCAGGGTCCTGGGAGACCATATATAGTGAATGAGGGGTTCGGGGAGACCAGATATATTGAATGCAGGGACCTGGGAGACCAGATATAGTGAATGCAGGGTCCGGGGAGAGCAGATATAGTGAATGCAGGGTCCTGGGAGACCAGATATAGTGAATGCAGGGTCCTGGGAGAGCAGATATAGTGAATGCAGGGTTCGGGGAGACCAAATATAGTGAATGCAGGGTCCGGTGAGACCAGCTATAGTGAATGCAGGGTCCTGGGAGACCATATATAGTGAATGAAGGGTCAGGGGAGACCAGATATAGTGAATGCAGGGTCCGGGGAGACCATATATAGTGAATGCAGGGTCCGGGGAGATCATATATAGTGAATGCAGGGTCCTGGGAGATCATATATAGTGAATGCAGAGTCCGGGGAGACCAGATATAGTGAATGCAGGGTTCGGGGAGACCAAATATAGTGAATGCAGGGTCCGGTGAGACCAGCTATAGTGAATGCAGGGTCCTGGGAGACCATATATAGTGAATGAAGGGTCAGGGGAGACCAGATATAGTGAATGCAGGGTCCGGGGAGACCATATATAGTGAATGCAGGGTCCGGGGAGAGCAGATATAGTAAATGCAGGGTCCGGGGAGACCAAATATAGTGAATGCAGGGTCCGGGGAGACCAGTTTAGTGAATGCAGGGTCCGGGGAGACCAGATATAGTGAATGCAGGGTCCTGGGAGACCAGTTTAGTGAATGCAGGGTCCGGGGAGACCAAATATAGTGAATGCAGGGTCCGGGGAGACCAGTTTAGTGAATGCAGGGTCCGGGGAGACCAGATATAGTGAATGCAGGGTCCAGGGAACCAGATCTAGTGAATGCAGGGTCCGGGAGACCGGATATAGTGAATGCAGGGTCCGGGGAGACCAGATATAGTGAATGCAGGGTCCGGGGAGACCAGATATAGTGAATGCAGGGTCCGGAGAGACCAGATATAGTGAATGCAGGGTCCGGGGAGACCAAATATAGTGAATGCAGGGTCCTGGAAGACCAGATATAGTGAATGAAGGGTCGGGGGAGACCAGATTTAGTGAATGCAGGGTCTGGGGAGACCAGTTTAGTGAATGCAGGGTCCGGGGAGACCAGATATAGTGAATGCAGGGTCCGGGGAGACCGGATATAGTGAATGCAGGGACCGGGGAGACCAGATATAGTGAATGCAGGGACCGGGGAGACCAGATATAGTGAATGCAGGGTCCGGGGAGACCAGATATAGTGAATACAGGGTCCTGGGTTTAGTAACACTTTAAAAAGATCTACAGACAGTTTAAAGCAGCATGAACCCTACCTGAATGATATTTAGTTTTTCTAAAGCACTGTGTATCATAAACAATTACCATAGCTTTCTTTCCATTCCTTTCTTTACCATCCTACTTCCATCTCATTGTTGTTGATCCTCTCTAGTTACTCCCTATCTACAAGCACTCACTCCAGCATTGGCTATCCATCATTGCTCTGGACCAGAGGTCTCCAAACTTTCTATACAAAGGACCAGTTTACTGTCCTTCAAATTTTAGCTTGTCTTTCAGACTTATACCAATGCCCCATGATTTGTATAAGGGGGAGGAATAGTGCCCCATCATTGGTGACAGGGAGAGGAATAGAGCCCATCATTGGTGTCAGGGAGAGGAATAGTGTCCCATCACTGGTGTCAGGGAGAGGAATAGTGTCCCATCATTGGTGTCAGTGAGAGGAACAGTGCCTCATCATTGGTGCCAGAGGGGGAAATAGTGCCCCATCACTGGTGTCACTGGGAGTAATAGTGCCTTATCTTTGGTATCAATGGGAGGAATAGTGCCCCATCATTGGTGTCAGTAGAAGGAATAGTGCCCCATCATTGGTGTCAGTAGAAGGAATAGTGCCCCATCACTGATATCAATGCAAGGAATAATGCCCCATCATTGGTGTTACTGGGAGTAACAGTGCCCCATCGATGGTATCAATGGGAGAATAGTGTCCCATCGTTGGTGTCAGTGGAAGGAATTTTGCCCCACCATTGGTATCAGTGGGAGGAATAGTGCCCCATCATTGGTATCAGTGGGAGGAATAGTGCCCCATCATTGGTATCAGTGGGGGGAATAGTGCCCCATCATTGGTATCAGTGGAGGAAGAGTGCCACATCATTGGTATCAGTGGGAGGAAGAGTGCACCATCATTGGTATCAGTGGGAGGAATAGTGCCCCATCATTAGTATCAGTGGGAGGAATATTGCCCCATCATTAGTATCAGTGGGAGGAATATTGCCCCATCATTGGTATGAGTGGGAGGAATAGTGTCCCATCATTGGTATCAATAGGAGGAATGGTGCCCCATCATTGGTATCAGTGGGAGGAATAGTGCCCTATCATTGGTATCAGTGGGAGGAATATTGCCCCATCGTTGGTGTCAGTGGGAGGAATATTGCCCCATCGTTGGTTTCAGTGAGAGGAGTAGTGCCCCAAGGGCTGGATAAAAGCAAGCAAAGTGCTGCATCCAGCCCCTTGGCTGCAGTTTGGAGACCACTGCTTTGGACTGACTTCCTCAGCGTGAAAACAGTGGACTATTTCTATTGGCTTGTAGTCCAAACCAAGAACACATGTGCAGGGGCGGACTGACAACTCATGGGGCCCCCCGGGCAATAGGGGATCATGGGGCCCCTGTGTCCTTGCCCAAACTCAAAAAAGCCTATGAAAAAAGTACCAGGGGCATCTCATGAGGTCCTCTACTGACCCTGGGCCCTTGGGCAGCGCCCGAGTTTCCAAATGGTCAGTCCGCCCCTGCACATGTGGCAGGTAACAACACACACATACAATTGGGAGACAGTTGTCAACCTGTCATGGGAAGTGCCTGAACAAGGACCTGTTGTAGGATCACCATGTATTTATTTTAGCTGCATATTTAGGAAGATTGAAAACATCTTTTAAAAGGACATTAACATGTTAAAGCCTGTATGAGATTTTTAGTGATGGATTGCTGGTTATGCATCAAGTCAGTCTCCTTGCGCTCTGAGTGCCTCTAGATAGAGAAATATTTCACTCAACTAGGCTAACTAACCAGGTGGAAGATTCTTAAGCAACCCTTTCCATATAATAAAGTTTGAAAGCTTGCAGTAGACACTCTCCAGTACCTACCTTGCATTTTCTTCAGCATCATGTGGCCATAACCCACTTCTCTTTGATGTGTCAATATCCACTTGAAGAACTTCTTGGATTTTGGAGCACTCAAGAAGACTTTGAGAATTTAGATTCTGTTGTTGGATGGAAAGAGTTGCTTTACACACAGTGCATGACTCATGTTCCCTACAAATTAAAGTAGCCTTGGCTGGTTCCTAACTAATACCACTAATACTAATTCCACCCCCTCATCACTTAACATAGTAGAGTTCCATTATCTGGTACATGGCAGGAAAACAGAAGGCTCTCCGGGATTTCAAAATGTATTGATGTGCGTCATGTGGCTTACTTCAGCAACATGTAAAATTAGTCATTAAGCTGCTAATGATCTCCAACAGACAGGCAAAAAATGAAGGATCAATCAGAAATAAGGACACTGCTAGGGATGGACTAACTGATCCAGCTAAACCAAGATTTGCTGATATCG